GACTCATTTGAGGGAGGTATGAACCCACACAGTTCATTTGTAACTGTAACGTTAGGTTTAGGGTGAAGTTAACAGCATTACACAATCCTTTTAGAATGTTGTCCTTGTTGTTATTAGACTTTATTCATATACACCATTTTCCTTCAAGGTACTCCTTCTAGATTTTAATAAAGTTCTAGTGTATTAATGAGTTGAGCCAGGGGAGTCTTGCCCTCTCTTATATCTTTTAACACTCCCCAGAGAAGACAAAAACCACCCTGGTAGCTACTTGCTTAAGTTCCAGTGCAGGAAGGTCCCTTGCTAATACGCAGCAGCTCTTAAGCACCTTGGGAAACACAAAGGCTCCGGTCAGGGCTCTCCCAGCAGTCAGCTAACACTGTTGAATGGAAGCCCACAACACTCACATGTGGTGAGGACTGTGTTATGCGGCAAGGGAAACCCAGGTAGAGCAAGGGTACGTGATGTGTCCAAGAACACATAGCGAGCAAAGGACAGACTAGAGACTAAACCCCAGCTGTTCCTCTCTAGGCCTTGCCTTTACTAGACCAGTTTATTATTTTAGGCCTTAGTTGCAACAACACTGGGAGTGTAATCCCGGCCATGTGGTTGCCCTCACTCAGTCTTTCTACTGCAATCCTGGCCAGCCAGGGCAACACCACAGGCTCCTCGGCACTGATGCTGCTGCCTCCGGTTGTGACTCACGCTCCTGAGGGCACTGTCCTGTCCCTGAGCCCTCCACATGCTTGCCGAGCCTGAGCGTGCACCAGCACACACGTGCTGAGCCGGGAGAGCACCGGCATGAAAATACAGCTGTGTCCTGGCAGGATGAGGCTAAAGCTGAGCTCTCCTCGGTGGAAACCTCAGCAGTTGGTAGGCATCAGGAGGTTTGTGAAGTGCAGCATACTGTGGTTAGGTCACTGGCTGAACTAGTAACTGAGTCTAAATTATGCCAGTCTGTAAGCCAAGAGGTGTTCCTTGCTATCAGTAGCTATGTGATAGCGAGGGTACATATACATGTCTGCAGACATATGTGAACACAGAGGCAGAGCTGTGCCCCATTTTTGCAGGTCCTGTAGTTTTATTTATTTCGCATGAAATGCTAGGACTAAACAAGGAAACTGTTGTGGCACTAAGGCAAACTTAGCTCTGTCGACAGCACTGTTTCTGGCCATTTTAGGGGTAAGACGAGTAAAGAGGCAAAGCAAATGCTTACTGCAGCAGCCATCCAGGGTTTGGATGAGCCTGGAGAGCCACACCACAGACAAGTATAGTGAGGACATCAGAGCCTGCAAGCGCTTTGCTCTTCAGCTCCAGAACTATTTTTAAAGATCTTGACCTGGTTACAGACCTGCAGAAACCTGGCGAGTTGGAAGGAGCAAATACAGGGACCTTCTCCATGATTTGAAAATAATTACTAGCTGTGGATGTAGTCACCCAGCCTTATTATCTCCACCCATCCCTTGTTTGTCTTCTCCTCCAACCCTCCAAACGTGACACTCTGTTGTCTTGGCTGCAGTGCATCAGGAGGCTTTTCAGGGCCAGCTGTAGCTCTGAGCGTGGCCCAGGAGCCGTGGGGCAGCTGGGGGAGGCTGACATCCCCCATTGCAGGAGCAAAGGCTGAGCCCACAGCCTGCTCATTTATGCCAAGGAATTTTTGGCTGCAGGTGCCAGGTAATTCCTGGTATGGCTGGCAGGCGATCCTCCCAGCTATTCACAGCAGTGCTTTAATTCAGGCCACCTATGCTCACACAAGTCTCCTGTGCAAGAACAACCCCATGCAGAGCTTACATGGTGTTAGCTACCCAGACAGTTTTATTTACAGTGAAGTTAAAAAGTGACACTCCACCTTTTGTCTTAGAAAGCAATAGAGGAACTTCTGCTATGGTGAAGCACCTATAAGAAAAACAGTACTTTTATGTCCAGGTTTATCAAAGCATTTTCTGTGTGCAGATAAATGAAAAGAAACAAGCCACTGAGTGACACAACTGGGTTTCCCAATACAGTGTTATTTTAGCGCAGCTCTTCTGTGTGACACACGGCAAACGACTGTAAATAATTATGGCTAAATTCCCCTTGTGAAATGTAAGAACCAGCATTTGTTTTCTGATGCATTAACCCAGCAGTTTTGCTTATACTCTTATAAAGGGACTAACAGGACAGATGCTTCCCTGCAGATGTCAGGGGGGTCAGTTTGGCTCCACGCCAAACTAGCAACAAGGAGAAGCCTGTGCATGAGCGTGCAGAAGGCAAATGCACACTGCACAGTAGGAAACAGGGCTGCCAAGCCACACACTCCATTAAGCAGCATGAGAGGAGACCAGAGTCTTTGCTATTGGGCAAGGATAAAAAGGTGAAAAGAAAAAAATCATCCATGCAGTATAGACCAATGTCTGCACCATAAGCCAGCCTAGGAAGTACTAGTGCAGCACAGTTAAATAATTTGTGTCATCTGCCACGGGGGACCCAGGTGCACATGTTAGGTGACCAGTTATCCATGTGTTTTCCCTATCCCCAAGTGCTGTGCAGAAGAGAATTCAGCTATCAGGATGTCACATCCGTGCACAGATTTGTGTTGCTTTCCAAGGTTTCTGCGCCTGCCTTTGGGCCAAAGGGGTTGAGGGAAGGGGACTGAGGGGTACCTGAGGTTCTGCTTGTGATCCTCCCACATGGTGGGACTATGCAGGAACTGAGTCAGTCTCCAGCCTAGGTCAGAGGCAATCCTCAGAGTGTGTTGGCAACTGAACCTGCCAAAGTGGCATAAAAGGGGGCATTAGCATCAGCCTCCTCTTATAAACCATCACTACTGCTTATGCATCACACAGCTTTGACTATCTGCATTAAGTAAAGGAAAACCATGGCAGCAGTTATCTAGTTTTGCAGCTAACCCAGGGCTGCCTGCATGAGGTCTATGGAGGAGCATCACACAGGAGAAGAGCTGCTGCACAGCAGTAATCCATCAGGCCTCTCTAGATGTGCTTCAGGTTGAGCTGCAACTTCTGGGCCAGATGGGCTTTTAACATGCTGTATTTGCCTTTGCACCGCCTTCTAAGTAGCACTTGATGATGTTGTCTGTAGTAATTTAAACCACAGTCTTCTTGAGATGAGGTATAGTGGAGTGGGCAGAGTGAAGTATCTCCTTCCAGAAGATACTCCTGTCAGTTTTAAGCACATAAACTTTACAAGTGAACCCCTGGGGGTTCTCCTCCAGCCAGTGGCAGAGGCTCTTCCAGAGAGCAATACAAGGCAGCAGCCATCATGGACAACCACAGAGCCTGCCTTGGGGATTCAGGCCAGGCAGGAGCCGTTTGTTTCTATAGCTATAGGAGCTAGCAGAGTTCAGCCCCCTATCGTTGCAAGCTCTGCCTTGAAACAGAAGTGCTGAGCTGTACATTTGCAGCACGTATAAACAGCTCAGTGAAGGGGCCTGGTGCAGCAGAGCAGCGCCTGCACCGAGGGAAGCTTTGTTGGCGTGGATGGACTTGTTTGTTCCCGATAGCCAGGAATGTGCAGCCTTGCAGCCTCCACGCACGCCTGCTCAGCTCCTCACTCTCTGGCTGGCAACGCAGCTGTGTCCTTGACCAACTTCCCTGCCCAGCAAGCACAGCCTCCACAACATTTTTTCCAAGCTGCCCACTGCAGCTCAGTTAGCTGTCAGGGGTGGACGTCTCCAGCTTCTCCCCAAACCTGGATGTTCCTCCCTCACCACACCAAACTTCAACCTCAAAAAAAAAAAAAAAAAAGTTATTTGCTGATGAAGGCTCTAGCAGCTACTCATCACAGAAAAGGAAGTGCCAAATATTTCCTTGTACGATCTGTTTCTGCAATCAAAGTGCTCTGTGGTTCAGTTGTAAAGGCTGGTTCCCTCCCACCCCACACACAGCCCATGGGTCATGAGCCTGAGCAGGACGTAGCTGACTGTCCACACCCTCATCACTTCATACTTTCACACAGCAACACTCGTACCTTTGCTTTCCGTGCAACATTCACCATTTCCTCGTGGAGTGAGGACAGGGCAAGCTGCTGCAGACACATTCACACTTGAATTGGCACTGTCAACTCCAAGCCCAGCAAGTTTCCCATGAACAAGCCCAAATGCTTTTGGCCCCCATCCCCAGAGCATCTTGCCAAACTGGGAGGGTGGGAGAGGGGGGAAATAGAATGATGTTTTTACTGGGAAGCGTCCCTTCTGTCCCCACCATTTGCTGGGGTAGGGCTTTTGCAGCCAAACAGGGAAAAATACATATGGGCCATCCGGAGCATCCCAGGAAAAGCTGGAAAAAGCTCTTCCCAACGACCTCCCAGGCCCTGGGACCTCCATAGCTCATGGCCTCACTCACAGGGACTCAGACTTGGCAGCAACAAGGGAAGCCATATGCAAACATGCCACCAGAGAAAACATGCCAAGAAAACAGAGTATTTTTGTGCTGTTATTTTTCCCAGTGCTGGCAGTCATAATTTTGTTTCTGCGTTAAGTGGGGTTTTTTGGTGGTTTTTTTTTTCTTAAACACCAATAGATACATTTTCTGGAGAAGCTTCTCCCATCTCCAAAAACTAAACACTTCAAACTAGGAAATCAAGCTGGAAAAATCAAAGAGATCTCTGCCCTTCAAATGCCACTTTCCATCTACCTCTCATATAACCTAGCTTTAAGACTGTCTTTACCACAAACTAAACCATGTCCTTTTTTCAGCTGCAGAGTTATATTCCTGGAAGTAATGCAGGTGTTTAAAATAACTATCTATTTTAATGACACTACCCAAAAAAGTCCATTAACTGTAGTAAACAAAGTGCACCAGCAAACCTCATCCAACCCCCTGGCAAGACAGAGCAGTATCATGGGCAGGCTGAGATGCGGGCTCCCAGCCACTGTGCACCAGCGCAGCCCCCATGACCTTACAGCAGCTGATGGTCTTACCCATTACTTCTGCTTTGTTCATCTCAGCATGCTGTCCTTCCCTCCAGATTTCATACAGAAAAATACAAAGAACACAGAAACACAGTTTAGCTTGCTGACATAATGCCCATATTTAATCTTTTAAAACAAGAACAAAATCAAGAATAAAATCAAGAATAAAAATTTCATTTAAGTCATACAGTACATTAATCTTTCAGCAATGACCCAATCTACAGTACTCAAATGCCTGGCATGAAGTCTATTATCTCAGCGTTTAACAAGTGTATAACCAGTGACACAGTAAAAGAAGAGCTCACAATACACAGCTAACACGATGAGTTCAGATTTTCTTCTAAGAGTCCAGCTAGGGTTTGTAATACGTGGGTCACTTTTGAACCGTACTTTAATCAACTTTTTTGTTCAGTCAATCTGTTTGGGGCTTTCTTTTCTGATATATGAGTTTTTCCATTATGTACAGGAATATTATTTCAAATGAAATTGCACAAGTTAGAGTATCTATCTATAGGCATACATGGTCAATCTAACTAAAAATTGAATAAGCAGTAATTACTCAGTCCTGGTTATACATTCCTAAAGGCTTAATAATACAGTTTAAGAAAAAATAATAATAATAAAACAAAACACAACAAAACACAGTTGTAGGGTGGCAATCTCTGTAAGAAGCCTCCTTCCCTTCCAAAACAACCAAGGGTTAACTGTACTTTCCACCTTTGAAATGGGGTCTACAAAGAAGTCATTTCAGCTCCTAAATAACACAAAACATGTGACTGTGTCCTTTCTAAAGTCTGAATGGTTCAATGCGTAATTCAGTGAAGCTCTCAAACAAATAATACTGGTAGGATGCAGACCGCTAACAGAAATTAGGACAATATGCCCCGATAGCACATTTGGATAGCACAACTCTGTATTAAGGGGCCATTATCCAGTGGTTAAAGTAGCTTGAAGGAGGAGAGCTCTCCCTGCAGCAGCTGCAGAGGAGGGGCAAGGGTGGGCTCTTCTGCTCCTTAGCCAAGGCTAAAGCAGAGTTTTCCCCAGCTCCGACTCGAGCACCTGCCGCCTCCTGCTCTCGGCCCCTGGCCAGCAATCCTTACCCCTTTCCGCGGGGAACCCCAGCCCAAAGGTGAGCGGAGGGGTGCAGGGTGCCCGGCTCCCACTGCTCAGGGGCAGGCACCGGGCTCCCAGGAGCTCGCCGCTGCGCCAGAGCTGCTCCGGCAGGGCCAGCAGGAGCTCTGCATGCTGGCGGCTCCCTGGCTCCCGGCCTCAACTACTGCACACATCTAAACGCAGTAACAAGCGTTTGGAGAGGCCTCTCCCACCGCGGAGTAGTGTTACCAAGCGCTAGAGACCCAGAGGGCTACCTCTAAGGGAAGGTAACTAAACACAAGGGTAGTGGAACATCTTCCCACGTTAGCGAAACATAAACATTAACTAATTAATTAACACGACTGCTTTGACTTTGTTTAATCTCTCTTTTTCTGGTGCCAGGTCTTGCTACAAATGGAGAAAACCCATAGAGAGTCACTTTCCTAGATAGAAAAGCGGTAGAATCTTAAGCCTTGAGGATCTGCTTTGTCATTTGCTACTGGCATAAACAACAAAAAAAGTCCCATTTGTTTGGTTGGTTTTTGTGGTGTTTTTTTAAGAAAAAAATCCAGACCATCATCCAGTGCACCTTTCTCTGCACATACACACACGCATACGCACCAATGGAGAGCTCCAGAAGAACAGGCATGGGAACCACAAAGCCCTAACTGTGAAAAGACAGGGGGAATCTCACATTTCTGTTTTCAATTCTCATTGAGCAACAAAGCAGCAAAATGATGTATTGCAAGAAATAAATGGTCACAGAACACACATTCACCCAAACGCAACCATGGATACATTTTTCCCATTTTTTTTTTTTTTTTTCTGATAGATGCTGTTATTCATCTGATAGTTTCTTTCTGGCTGTGCTGAAGTTTTTGAAGAGCATCTGGTGCTTCTTTAACCTTTATCACAATGTGAGAACCTCAGTGGCAATGGACAACCTATCTCATTAGTGCCACAACCGACCATCTCCAATTGAGATTCTCTATGAACCCCTTCAAGAAGTTGAATCTAACTCTGCTCCTTTGGTGCCACTCTGTTTTGTTTTTTTTTTTTAAATTAACAAACACAGCATATTAATGCAAATTTGATGTTTTCTAAAAATTAGAAATGCTCAGATAATTAGTTCAGCAATATGCAAAGTGCATCTATTTGGTTCTTTCCATAGATCACCTTCTGTTGTAAGTTTAAATTCCTTCACAGTTTAAAATATTGTGAAGAAATTATATGTATACTTTATGTATAGAACTATTTATATACATACACATATATACACACAACTCTGTACTTTATATAGCCATAAACACTCATTACTTAACTATTTATATTATATACACATGGCATGAACACACTCAGTGAAGAGTTGGTGCAGGCTGAAATCATTCCATCGGGTTTAATGGAATAACAACAGTGAAACCATGAGTGACTTACCAAGAGACAAAGACATACATCTATTAGATAAGTGAAAGACCAATTAAATCAGCTCTTCCATTTCCCTATTAGCACAGGATTGTTCCCACCCCATTCCATGCTCCGTATGCACATACACAGCTATTTTGCAGGGTGTTTACATGAGAGGGGAGTGGCGGTTCTTTTTTCTAAATGAAAGAACAGTCCATATTTACTTGGGCTCATCTCAGCCTCTTCTGCAGAAGTGCAGCACAGCTGGGTCTGGATGTCTTGGAGGACTCTGAATGCTGCGCCACCATTAGCTGAAAGCACCTGCTGAAGCGTTATTGCATGGTTATGGGACAGCTATCAGTTGTTCACAGTCTGTGAACTCTCTCTCCAACAAGTGGTACAACTGTATAAATACATATTTTAGCACAAAACAGTTTAACACGAGGCAAGTCCAAGTATAAATGAGACCTAAAGGCCTATGGGTGAACTTTAAAGGCCAAGAGTTCTTCAGAGTGCATGTTGTTTAAGGAACGCAAGTCAGGTAATTTCAAAAGAAGTTTTGTGAAAATAGAGGCTTCATTTGGGTGATTTTTCATGATTAAGGTCCTTAATGCACGGATTAGTGTTTCCTGAAGTGCCTCCACAGAATTGACATTTTCTATTCCGGAGCGATCTAAAGAGAAGAGGGCAAGGGGAGGGGGGAAGAAGAATTGGGAGAGAATAGGGAAGGAAAAAAAAAAAAAAAAAAAAGACTGAATGGATGTAGTCTGCAACAAAGCCACTGCAATTATCACTGATTAAATTAACAAGAAAAATTGAGTACTTATGCCCTAAGTTTCAAACCCACGTTATCAAAATTCTTTTAAACATTTTTTAGCATCAACTTTGAGAAGTTTTAAGCTCATGCCAAAGTGGCAGCATTTAATCACCTTTTCTGTAATCACCCATGTTTCCAGAAAAGGACAGATTGAAGCATATACTTAAGTATTTTACCAAATCACAACTTTCACTGCAAGAAGAGAGACAGGGCACAGGAAAGTAAAAATTTCTAACACTTCCCAAGACTGGACACAGAACACTTAAACTCAAACTAGAGGTTCATGTTTGAGGAGAAAAATCCCACTCAGGACAAGCCACGCTCCTACCCGCACCACAGGATCCCCAGGGGCAAAGGGAGTGCAAGCCTTGACATGACCAGGCACTATTTCTGAGTGCGTTCTGAAGCACTTACAAAATGAAGCATGATGCACCCCGAAATTCCCAACCAAGGAAGAAAAGAAGAATTTCAACATCAAGTAGAATACTATGTTTTCAGATACTTCACTCCTCCCACACCCAAAGCATCTCTTTCAAGAGAGCTGTATTTAAGAACAGGCCTGTTGTCCTTAGATGGAACCTAAGTAAGCAGCTTAAAAGGATGAATTTTTAAGCAAAACATCTGACCTAATAACCATGCACAGTAGCTGTTTTTTCTGAGCTGTAGCCTCTCTTCTTAAATGCTATGTAAATTCAGCAGGGCACACACACAGACGAGTGATGAGTGACGGACGCTAAGAGCAATGTGCTTTGATGTGCACATGTACTTAAGCACTTTGCAGAACTGGGACACAGAACGAGAACAGCTTTCTGGAGTAGCACTGAGTCAGATCATACAGTCAGAATGGGAATCCCTTCCTTATGTCAGTGTCAATCCAATCGAATTTCAGGTGAACAGAGTCTAGGAAGTCCTCCTGGACTATTCAGTGCAATTCCCTACCACTATGGGAAAAATTATTATATAATCCATTCAAGGATCCATCTTGAAGCAGTCAATGTGTTTTGTTCCTCTAGAAATTGTTCCGGAACCTTCTACCCAAACAATTAGGAACTTCATTTAGTATTAAATTATGTTTATTAGACATATTCCACTCTTCTGGGAAGACTCTTCATCAGGTTTGACAGCTGCTCTCCAAGAGAGCACTAGTGCAGAGATGCCTCTATTTCTTGAACTATCTGTGCCACTTGCCCCCCCCCCAGCCCCCTGCTTTGCAAAACCTTTAGGCTTGCTCTACCTTGAGCAGGGATGATAACATTGGCACAGAATATCTCAAGAGCTCTGTACAGTGACAAGAGGTACTGCCTCGCCTCTGAAGGCAGAGGAACGCAGTCCAGTCTTTCCTGGCTGCCTCAGGAGAGTTAATGTAGCCTACTCTCTTCAATTAAGTCTGTCTTTCTTCTCCCTCTCAGTCTACTTCCAGCTGCTCTCAGTCCCCAGCAAAAGTTTTGTTAGTACTATTTCAATAAGAGAGACTATTAGCAGGGGGTGTATTTTATATTCTTCTACCACAAAGCATCACCCTCAGTTAAGAGATTATCTGGTCTCTAGACCTGCATAAAGTACATTCTTTCAGCTTTGCTTCCACCTTGCTGCTTCTTCCTTCAGTGCCCACAATCCATCTTGCTATCTCCCCTCCATCTTCAACACATACAACTAACTGAAGCCAGAGGCAAAGCATTCTTTTACTTTTGGAATGGTACCAAGGTAGTTCTTCAGCAGCACCAGAAACACTCCTACATTCTCACTACATAGCCTGCTTTTTCCTTCTTTGCCATATGACACCAAAACAAGAGGATGTACACAGTTACACACATTCCTTGCTACTACCCCTGCTTCTTTCTGCATGTTCTAACTATCCCTCATAACAGTGGTTATTTACCCAGTGTTATGTGGGTAACACATTTCCGGTAAGTGTGCTCCTCACTAGCAATATTTAGAACATTTCTTTCCTTCCAGTGGCTTTTTTCAAAAACTTTTAAACAACTGAAAGTCTTTTTAAAAGATTTTTAACTAGTGCAGCATGGTATTTTATATTGTGGATCACTTAATCAGGATTCAACAGTCACTCCTGTCTATTTCTGCAACTGATACAAACCTTGACTACTCTACTATCCTCCTTTCAATTTTGTCTTGAGTAACTTTCACTGTGAGATGAAGAAGTCTTAACGGCCTTATCCTTCCACCTTCAGTTCTTCTTCCAGTTATGGCACCTTTTGCCTTTGCCTGCATCTCCATGTCATTCTCTCTGATCTTGTTCCTCAACTCTTCCCCCTTCTCTAATTGAGCTCTGTCTCCACCTTATGGAAAATGACTCTATGGGTCACACTCCTCCTTGAGGGGTGGGGTACAGGAGATCTGTTTTTCAACATCTGTTTAATCAACACGTGCCCACAATCCTTCAGTTCTACAGGCATCTTCTCCTGGCAAGCCCTCACACTGTGAGCATCTTCCCCAGGAGCTCTGTTAGGGGCACTTCTGATCCTCTTCGGTACCTGCTTGAGCATGAAGGTTGTTCACTTACTTGTGCAAGTAACAACTGCAGCATTTGAATCTGCTTTCAAGCTACAGAGTGAATTTGATCTGAAAACTGCTGTACTCGCAGTGACCATGAAGGTTACTATTGTGTTTGGAACATGGTAAAAATGCAAGTTTGGGCCCAAATGTTAAAAGATTAATGAAATTGTACTTTATAAGACCCTGGAAGTATTTTGTGAAGATGTTCAAGAAGGCTGTGATCAGACTGCAGATCAGACTACAAGGTACCTAAAATAGGTAGCAATGATGTCCAGAGCTATGATCTGAAAAATTCTCAGCAGCTGCAAGAAGCCTGAATATCAAACACATCCTCTTTTTGTTGTGTTGCATGGCTCTGACATTACAGGCCGTACACATTACATACCATCCATCCCTAAGCCCTGCTTGGAGCTAGCAACAGCACGGAACAGTGCTTAACGGGCTGGGGGCGGGGGGGTGCAGGAAGGCAAGGGGGCTGGCTCTGTGCTAGAAGCACAAGTAACAGAACAGATACAGCCAATTACATTGAAAAAAAGTGGCACAGAGATTATGATATTCTAGGGCCCAGCAGCTGAGCAAGCAAGAAGAGTGGCTGTAGCCTACTTACAACATTGCACAAAGAGGGAAGAGGCCTGTTTCTCAGTTCTTGAAGGTTGTCTCTAGTTCTCATCAACTTATTTTTTTAAAGATAACGTATATAAAGCAGAGTCTGGAAAAGCAACTAAACCCACAGGTTTCTCTCTGCTACCAGGACATTTTCACTAACAGACTACAGTGCCACACTTCCTTCACACTGCCATTCGTTCAAAGCTTGCAAACTATACGTTCGAAGCATGCAAACTGTACCACCCTCTGCTCATTACCACCGCTTACAAACTGAAGAGGCTACAGCTGCCCCATCCTGTGCTACCACATTTCAGTTAGGCCATGCACAAAGCTATTAGACTAAGCCATCCTACCTTGTTTACAGAGGTTTTCATGTGCCTACAGCACCATGCCTGGGGTGCCTCTCCCTGTTAAGGAAGATGTGGGTCTAAACCACTCACATGGAAGAGGTGCACTTGTTCAAGAAGTGAGCAGCCGCCAAATGCTGGCTTGCTGTATAAGTGGGCACTACTAGCATTCCTGCTAGCTACCTCTAGAGAGCTCCTTACCCAACAAGCAGGGATTCTGCATCTTATATTCCAGGCATTATACGCAGAGCTAATGTGGCTAATTTGAGGCTTTAGATAATACTACAGAAGTAGGTGCTTAATCCTTCTTTGAATCTGGGCCAGGGTGTTCCGCATATCCAGGGACTGAAACAAGATACAAGGCTGGTGAAGATGTTAGTGGATTGGCAGACCTTTAGTGGTAAGAAGTCACGATGCAGATGAATAGGGCTTTCTTGCTGACATAGCCAGAGATCAAACTGTTGGATTTAGACTTAAGTAAGATACGCAATAGACATCAATGACAATACTTGGAAGTAAAAATACCACCTTATCCCAAGACTTAGGCTGTGCAAGTCAAGACTAATTTCACTGATGCTGTCCTGTCTGAGCCAAATGGCTTCTAAACAGCCATCGGGCAGCTATGAGATGTATTTTTGCATTCTGTAGAAAGCAGTAGGAAAATATAAGCCCATTGTCACATTCCTCCAAAAGACAGTATTAGAAAGAGCGGGTATGTAAGAGAGTAAATTACAGGCTGCTAGTACCTTAAAACCTGCTAAATTGCACTTAGACATGAAATAACAGGGTATACATTTTACAGAAATCTTAATAGAGAGCCACATTCAAAATATGGCGAAGGTGCAAGTTAACATTCTCTCCTTACCAGCAGATACCAGGACAACCGCTGTAAACAAACTCATTTCCTCATCACTAAGTTGCAGGGCGTTTAGTTTCTCACTAAATTCAAACATTGAGTTGAGCAGATCACCAGCTCCCATTGAATGCAAGTCATCCACACTGTACTTCTTTCCACTCAAGAAGGTGACGGTACGTTCCTTTGCATCAAACAAAGATGCAAACCGTACCATTAAAACCTGGTGAAAGAAAAAAAGAACAAGAAAAACAGATAAATATAGGTGTATTTCTAGAAAAGCCAAAGAAAAAAATTAAACCTTTTACAAAATTAAACCTTATTCAAACTGTCTCATTAACCGCTGTACAAGCATTCTACACAGAAACTGTCAGCATGCTATTGAGCTGTAAAAAACAGTGCAAGCTCTGGCCCAGTAGTCTGAGAGAAACAAACAAGTAAAAAAATCAGCGAGTGGATGCAGGGGAGTGGCTACAGCACATAGAAGGGAGGAAAATTAAAATTTAAGCCTCAGACAGCCTGAGCCACAAGGACAGAGCCATTCAGAAATATGCCAGTAGGACAACTTGCTTAAGCCACCGAACAGCCAAAGGCATACAGAGCATTAAAAGAAATGTTTTCTTGGCCACACTTATGAGGAGCAAAATGAAGGTACTGAACCAGATTCTCGCTTGGCGTAAACTGGAGCAGCTCCATTAAAACAATGCTGATTTACACCACCTGATGATCTGGCCCCGCTAGGCATTCTTTGGGAAAGTACCATGCCGCATTGCTGTACCCACAGGAATGTTAATGAGCTCTGGTAGAAAGGAGCCACACGTACGGCCCTCAAAAGGCAGGGAAGCAGGGCTTGAAACGGCACCTGGTCTGTAGCTGCAGCTGGGAATACCCCTTTGGTATAAGCACCTGGGCTGGAGCAGTTGACATGTGCTGAACTTACCCCTCTGGGCTGAAATTTCTCTTGTGGTTTCTCAGTCGTACTGTGAAATGTTTCCCTCTGGAATGGCTTGTAAAGTTTCATTTGCTCATGTTCAACAACCTTAATTACATTTTCAAGGTTTAAGTTGCACAGAACAGCCTTCTTATTTGGAGAAAATGAACCAACTGGCATTGGTTAAAACTTCAGACTTGCTGTAATTTCTTGGTGTGACAGTCGTCTCTTCTCACTTACCCTACATAACTGCATTAATTTAAATGTTTACTACAGATGAGAGGAGAACCAGGTTTTCAGCAAAGACTAGTGCCTTTGACAAGCTTAAAAAAGGAGGGTTCAAAAAAAATAAAAATGTTTGAGAATTCAAACACCACTCATGCACATTACATGACCTGCTCCTAAATTTTAACAGCCAAGTGACATGCAGCAATCTTGATGGACACATGAGCACTATGTATTATTCACCTGTCAGCTAAGCTGTATGTCCTTTGACAACATTAACTACAGAGTGCAGTAACCTAGGCAGAAACCTAGGTGCAGAAGCCCTCAGAAGACAACAAAAGGAGACAAAGGGCAGACAGACAAAGCTAAACTTGTGCATTAGCAGGGACCCACCAGGTACTCAACAACCCTTTCGTTCAAAATGGTATTGCTCTTACAGAATTGGTCTTCGGAAACATGAACTTGAAATAAAGAGCAACCAGTATGAATGCTGGTATTCAAAACTGAAGCCTGTGAAGGTGGGTTGACTTAATACTAAGGCAAAGACCTCATCTACAGATGTCAATGTCACCATTCTAATCCAAGGAAGAGCAGTTTAGACTATGGTGTAGCACATGATTGATTCACCCCATCTCACTGCAAGCCAGACCTCTATTTGTGCATGCTGAGGATACACCTTATAAGCCCTATCACCTGACCATAGTGATATAAGCACACAAAATCCTCCACACAGGCAAGTGCTTGCTGACTTCCCCAACACCTGCAGCCAAATTCCCAAATTTGTGAGTCTGTGGAGAAACTGAGTCACTACCCCAATGGATCTATGGGGCTTGTCAGCTCTACCATCAACTACATTTGGAGTGGGGGCTTGCGGAGGTGGGGGAAGGACCCACTCAAATCCACTTGAATTCCTTATTTTATGCCCACTGCTGTTTCTGAGCTGGCTCCCACACAAAGCCATGCAAATGCCACCACAACAAAAAGCTTCCCAGTACTCCCAGTTCTAAGAGGGCTTTTTAGCTTACGTGTGTGAATATATACAGCTATGCTGCTTCTGCACCAACATTGTCTCCATGTGTCTTCATGCCCCCAAATGAACAAGCACACCTTGAATATGAGCTGCTGGTAAGTACAGTGCCAAGACAGCCACACACCAGTACCCAAGGGAGCCAAAACAAGCTCAGAGGCAGCACTTTTACTCAGGTTCTTCTATTAACATACATATGTTGTGATATCCTAGAGTAGCTACCCAGCAGACAGAAATCATCCTGAAAGCCTGAAGCATACAAGTTCCTTTTGCCTCTATTGCAATGGTTTCATTAAGTCTGTTGGGTGTATTTTTTCACTGCTCTGCAGCATTATTTTTATGGGGTTTTTTTCTGTTCTAAGATGCCACGTAGGCCTTTAACTACAGGTGCCAGCTCACTAACAGAAATTATTGTTTCTTATAAGTGAATAGGGATAAGCATGCAGATGTACATTATTATTAATTCCCCTGGATATAGAAACCTTCTTATCAGCTGTGCTTATAACTGGCAAAAAGGCATATGAATGAGGCTTGAGAAAAGCATGAGGTGAAAAAAGGCCAAGACAAAACATTTTACTTGCAAAACATGAAGTTTTGGCTTTATGTTATAGGAACAGTTCAAGCCTCATTTTCCACCCTCCTTGAAGGCACTGGACAGTATATCACTTTGCAGAGGAAGGAACCGACACTTTTGTGTAATGTGAACAGAACGTAAGAGGCTGTAGCTGAAGAAGTGAAAATACAGCCCTTAGCTACAGGAGTTGTAGATGAATATTAAAAGGTCAAGAGTACGTACAACAGCAAAAAAATACATGACAGCAAAATGGAAGAAACACAGAATCCGACACACTCCAGGAACCAAGTTTTCCAGTGTAACTTGTACCTTCCAACTCAACAATTATCCATTTTAGAACCGGGCTATATAGATACAGATAAAAGACCCAACACATTACATGAGAAATGTCTTCAGTTCAGGTAAACAGGAAATCCAACATCCCTCTTTGAAATAAATCAAGTAAACAAGAGCAAAAGCATCACCAACCCTGCCCTCCCCAGAAATAGACAGTAACATTGAATACTTAGGACTTCAGCTCCTCTAGCCCTCTATGTTTAAACTTCACATCTGAATACTTGTAAAATTGTTCATGGTCTCCAATAGACACAAGAGTCTGGAAAAGCAACTAAAACCTTAAGTAAAGGTCACTAATAAAACAGCACTGACCTCTCTGGTATTCTCAGTTTGATTCACATGTATGTCATGCTCACAAGTTGGTGAAACTAACCATGAGGACCTGGCGAGATTAGTCTAGAGTAAGTCAGGGTGCAGCTGGTACATGGTACAGAGCTGCAGCAGTACAGGTAGTTATCTGTCTTACTGCTTTGGAGATGGAGACTTCAGCAACCCCCAGTTGCCACCAAAGGCTAGCGGTGACTGGTCAGGATGGATGCCCTGGCTTTGGCAGGGAGCACAGTGGCAGATGGAAGGACATACAGAGCGATGAACACACTCCTCTACAAAACTGCTAAGTCAATACATAGCTTTCTGAACTATCCACCCTTCCAAATGCAGTCTGCTGCTCTCCAGGCTAAGCAAAGGTAGCAAACAAAGTAATCGCTGCTATACAAAACCAAAAAACTCCTCGTTAGTTATATATTAATACCCAGGGAAGAGGAAAGGGTAAAAGGGCTGAGCACTTTTGAGCTACTTGGGAGACAGCTCAACAATATTTCACCGAACAGAAGCACTGGACACCATCAGCTTAAGAACAGCTCAGAGCCAGCATCCATGAACAAGCTGGTTTTGCCTGATATAACCTAGTCCTATTTATTTTTGCTCTTAAGGGGGTCACACTGATGCACAGACTGTCAGGTCTGTGCTATACATGCAGTGGTCTCACCTCAAAGGTCCCAGCCTTCAGAAGATTAACCTGGTCATGTTGGGAAAGATCTCGGAAACCTGGGATGCGCTTGGCAAATTCCACCACTTCCTTTACCGCAGGGGTAAAACTCAGGGAAAACTCTTCCCAGACTTCATGGCCAGACTTGTTTGGGTCCACGTGGGGAGTCTTACTCATTGGACACACCTGATGTTTACAAAACACAGAGAGAAAACAACTCTTAAAGATATAATTTCAAATGACAAATACTGGAAAGAAGCAGGTTATTCTTCAAGAAAACTTTGCCATAATGACATATAGAGAAAAAACAACAGCATTCCTCAGTCAATTCCCAAAGCAACTAGATTTTTCCCCCTCCCTTTAAAACAAACATTAAAATCCCCAGGGCAGTCCATTAGCAAGCTGTTTCCAAATTTGCTGACCTTGGTAACGTCACCACTGTTTAATAGCAAAAGGTTGAGAGAACCCAGGTTATGCTGTTCTTCCCTTATGTCACTCATGCCTGACATCTGGATTTCTCTTACTTGTATTATCCCTGTAATCTCACAATTAATCATGATTTCACAATCTCATCATCTCGTAGTCACTACTACATTGATTCTCATAGATCTTTCTTGTCTTGCAGGCAACTAAAGTGATTCAGTCAAGGTGACAAAGGTGTCAACACCAGAGCAAGGAACCCAGCCTTGGTTTCCCGAGTCACAGGTTTACACCCTCATTACCAGAACAACCTTCCTTCCCTACATCTTTTCTTTCATTTGTATCACTCAAGGAAGACCAAAGAACTGGTATTCCAATTTTGCTCAGTCACAAGGCAACAAAATGCTCTTTCTTTTATACAAACACACAGTGAGTTTTTTTGTAGCAAAGTCTGAATCTATTACAATGAGATCAGACATATCAGTCAAGGCTGACTGCCAATAAATTCCCTCTAAAACCCAACCAGACGCTCTGAGATACTTTCAGTTCTGCTTTCTTTTAATGAAGTTTAAACCTTTTAATACTCATTTCACCTGTCATCATCAAGGACAAGAATTCCTTTAAGCATTCCTCACAAGTATACTAAACAGGCTATGTAATCCTACATAATGTCAGCAAAGCAAACAAAAACAGTAGAATAGATTAGTAACTCCTCAGCGCTCTGCTGCTTTTGCAGGGCATCTTCAATCTGATAACTGCCTAGCAATTCTTTGCGTGGAAGGTCCTATGATCCATTACAAGAATATATTCAACAGGTATACACGCTTGCATGTGTGTGTATACGTATTTGGCAACAGCTACGGAGACTAAAATGGAGATAGATGTACCTTTCTGAGTTTGTTTTGGGGGGTTTGGGGGAGTTTTTGGTGTCCCCCCACCCCCAAGTGTGTTACTAACTGGACGGTCAATATGGAGAAAGCTCTTCCCAAAAGTCAAACAACAAAATTGCAGATTTCTTAGTTCAGCTGTGAATCACAACATCATTTGTGTGTCTGAGGACAACACCCAAAACCAAACCATTACTTGTGGGGTAGAGTGGGACTTTTTCCACAAACTAAAAATCATGAAATATTTTGGCAAAAGGCCTAGGCACACAACGAAGCACAGCAGACAGTAACCACTGCTCCATCCATGATACTGCAATGGTTCACACAGGTATTGTTAAAAATACTGTACTCTGAAAATAAGGAATCTCTGGTTCAGCACCCCCCTCTGAATTGGGCACAAAAAGCACGTCAACTTCTCATCCTATGATCATTTACTCTTAACCCCCAGGCACTCTGTCCCAAGGGGGAACTGTCACTTTCCCCCACTGTGTATTAGGTCTAAGCTCTCTTGAGAGACCTCTGCCCAAGAGTAACAAAATCACATAATATCTCAAGTTGGAAGGGAGCCATAAGGATCATCGAGCCCAACTCCTCGTTCCTTGCAGGACTACCTAAATCTAAACCATATGACTAACAGCATCATCCAGACACTCCCTGAACTCTGACAGGCTTCCTAGGAAAGCAGTTGTCAGCTTGTGCAGTCACTAGCTCTCTTTAGAGGAACCCCTTCAGGAACGACCTGTTCTGCTTTTCTGGTTGTGAGGGTACTGAGTAAAAAAACCAAACCCCTGAACCAGTCTCCGTACTGGTTTAGAGCCTAATTACACTCCCTTACTGCTACTGACTCATTTTGGTCAGATCCTGCTCTTATGGAGTTCTCTGGCAAAGCCCTCATACATGGCAGGGATGAAGGGGGGGACCTACAGTGCTCTGCTGGATTCAGTTTTGTTTCCTCATTGTGTTAAACCTCCCTGCTGCTGCTATGCACAGGCCAAACCGACTGGCTAGGCCTCTGCAGGCAGCGCCACTCCCTGCCTGCCCATACGGACTGGTTTAACCTCTACTTCTCGGGAGTGCCAAGAATGCCGTTGTAGTGACTCCACATACTTTCCCTGCAAGGAAGAAAGGTTGGGAATGATATTATTTGTCATGGTGTAATGTGCAGAGTCTGCAATTAAGGTCAAAGCCTGCTAGGAATGGTATGGTCCACATATGCCATAGCTAAAGAAGAAAAACAAACCAACCCCAAAAAAAGTCAAAAAAGGAAATCCAGCATCAAAGCAAACAGCATTCACTGTGCGGAGACTTTCAGGGGCCTTCAAGAACCTGTGAAGAATCTTTAAAAACTAGGAGGAAGAAAAACACCAGCAGCTCAAGTACTTCAGAAAGGTCAGAGGCTCGCACTTCTGAACAGGAGCACAGGATGAGAACAAGGATGTTATGTTCTCTTATCCCAGGCAGTTCCAGTGATAAAGAGAAGGACAATCTATTTTAAGGGGCTTACAGAAATGGTTGCCTGAATGGCAGAGAAACAGCAGGTGCAAGGCAAATGGGAGGGACCTGTTAAGGGGGAAAAAAAAAAAAAAAACAAACCATACACAAAACCCATATGCAAGAAAACAGGAAGCATGCTTGTTAAAAATTCAGTGAAAAAAATGTCCTAGCAAAGTCATCTAAGGTACCCAGAAGTGTGTTCAGAGCCTCACTTGTATAAGTACTACAGAAAAGACCCTGAACTTCTCTCAAGCTGTTTAGCTGTGCATCTTCCTCCTGCCTCTGTTCAGATCTGATAATGTTCTAGGGGAGAAGGATACATAGTCTCCAGGTTCCACCGAGCCTGTATTTTACACCACCTGTAACAGAATCAGCCTACCCTATTAAAACAAACAAAACACCCCACTCCCAAAAAAACCCCAGCCTACCCAGCAAGATTTTTAGAACACACTAACAAGGCATGCAGACCAGTTTAAAATCTTAGCCCTAAGGTTTCACCCGAGAAATTTGTTCCGAATACCTTTAAGGAAATTACAGCATATCTGACTGTGCGGATTATTTTAAAGTGAAGTCTTCAAGAGGACTGAATGAAGAAGGGAACTCCTAACATCTATTTTCAAGTCAAGCCAGTTACAAAAACCCATGAGTTTTCTTCAACCAATGCTCCTTGACATCCATATACTTTGTTTGCTAAAAACCAAGCCAAGAAACCCCATCGCTTCTATGATTTCAAATCCTCCACACAACTTGAGCCATGGTTCTCTTTCATCACAACTCACGCTATCAAACTTGTGTCACTACATTGTTTCAGCAGCTGTGCCAACTCTGCAGCTTCATTGACTAAAGAGGAACAGCTGGATCATACCCACCACTAAGTCAAATCAAACAATTGATATCAATATACCAGATGCATTCTTCCTCCAGTGCTGCAAGAGTAAGTGGCATTCTTGTTTGGAGAAAAGCCATCTTCTGGGATCCTATCACACAGTCGCTGAGTATAACCACTGGTGAAGTTCATACAGTGGCTGTTTGTGAAACACATGGCGTGCCCACTTGGATAATGCACTGCGCTTCTCCCTTTGTACTGTCCACCAAGATGCTGCTCACTTTCAGGGTACTGAGGGCCACCGAGCCCACTAACACAGTGCTCACTGTTCAAGATGTACTGCTCTGTGTTCTTTGACACTCTCTCCCCACCCTGGGACTGCATAATTTCTGCTGGGTTTTGGGACTGTTCTTGGTTGTACATGAAAGTGTCTTTGTGGGCCCTAGTGACCATGCCGATCACTTCTTCCTTAGCCATGTCAGCAGCAGGAGGCGAAGAAGGGCTTTTGATGGCTTCCCGCTCTTGTTTGGGCTTGGAGGAAAGGTCTTCTTGAGGTGCTTGATCTTGATGTTCTGTTAATGCTTCATTGGGCAAGTGACCACTGAACTGGCTGTTCATCATGGTTTTCATGGCACTCTGCATTTCTATCAGCATTCTCTGTTTTTCACGTTTGGGAATGCGGCCAAATCGAACAGCTAGCAAGGTGGAGAAATGAAAAGCAGGAAAAAAAGTCAATCCTGAAAGTGTTATAGCAGCAGACAAAGGCATCAAACTAAAGTGAAAAAACCATCAAGTGCGCACACACACACACACACACACACTACACACCCCAAACAATAATCTAGTCTTTCAAGGGAAGACTTTAACTGCTCTCACCAATACTACAGCAGGGGTATCATCACTGAAATCAAGGAGCTTCCTGGGCATAGGATAGGCACAAAGTATGAATTCTATGCTGTTTACACACAAAGAGAAGGCAGCTCTGAAGCACACAATCTCTGAAGCCTTTTCCCTTTTTGTTACCAACCTGGCTATGGACTATACACATAGTTGTTAGTTAATTAAGTGTCAGGCATTAAGACTGGATCAATTAAATCAGTGCAACTTTCTGAGCTGCCAATTAGCTGAATTTAAACACAGTTCATATCATATTTGAACATAAAAACTAAAAGACAGCTCCTCGTGGACCAATTATAACTTGCCAAAACAATTAAAAGAATCAATGCTGAATGAAGCTTACCTTGGCAAATTTTCCTGATAACTTTGCCTTGACAAGGACACTTTCTGCTGGCAAGGGGATGGACATCATTGTGGCTGCAGCCCTTTTGACCCTGTCCTAGGGAATCTACAACTGCCTCTACCATCCTGTCCAACCACAGCCTTGCAAGGGCTTATAACCAGTTTCGACTGATGTAATTATGTTCGTGCAGTAGTCCATCATTAATGTAACAAAATCTCTTTCATTAAAGCAGGTGCAATCTTATGCGCAAACAAGCGCCTAGGGGATGAAATAACTCCTATGCACAACAAGAACTCCGAACAACTATTTAAAATAAGTTTTAACACTCCACCCACTAAATTATTAACAGCCTAAGATTCCTAGTTCTTGTGAAATAAACACGCAGAGAAAATTAAAAAGTGAAACATGAGGAAGAGTTCTGGTTCGTGACAGTAAGTTGCAGCAGACTAATGAACTACACTTTCAGCATTACAGCTTAAAAAATTTTGCAAGGAGTGGAAAGCCAGCAAGGTGGTCAGAGACACAGCTCAACATTGCCCTTTCATCCTTACCTTCCCCTCCCTCCATGAAAAAAAAAAAAAAAAAAAAAAAAAAAAAAAACTCTTTAGGCTCTATAATGTTTACTCTAAGGCTACCAGCTCAGGCAGAATTCCCTTTCATTGAAAAAACAACAGTAACAAAACAAAACAAAACAAAACAAAAAAAAAAAAAAAAAAGAAAAAGAGAAGAGTCTTGTTCAGATTCAGGCAGGACACAGCTATAAATATTAACTCATTAAAACAAAATTGAGACTTTTGTTACAACTGTCCCCCTACAAGACCACTGCAACACATCCCACTGCATTAGCCTCCAGAGATGGGAGGACAGCTCTGCAGCCAGGATTACATTACCAGTTCAGGAGAGTCACGCAGCAAGAAGGCAAGCTGATCTAAATGCTCTCAGACAGGGAACCTGTCCCTGACAACACGTCTGGCTGCATTTTCTGCCATTAAGACCCTTAGCAATCGGTTTTGAGGTGGGCAGCAGATTCCCTCTCAGAGGATCACTGCTCAGTAGAGAAACGTACCATCTCTTGACATCCCAACAGAGAGGCATTTTTTGAAACGACACTGCTGGCATCTGTTCCTATTCATTCTCATTATAGAGCAGTTGTTATTCTTCAAGCACTTCTTATACTGAATGTTTTGCTGAATGCTTCTTCTGAAAAAACCCTGGAAACAAACGAACAAAAGACCCCCACAAGTATTATTACAGCATGTCAAATATTCCTACCAAGATTCACCTCTCCAGAAGCACAGAAAACCTCACTGTGCCTCATCAGCTACTTCAGAGCCACCAGCTCCAAGTGATCTTAAAGAACCTGCTACTCCTCATGACTTACTTCCCCTTCGTGTATGATTTGCGTGTAACACAAATGAGTTACGATTTCTAACTATAGAAGATGCTAAGTCGTTCCCTGCAGAGTCAGCACCTAAGAGCAAAATATCTCCAGTATTACCTCCATCACTGTACTGACAGTTTATGATACGCCCTCAATCTCCTATGACATTAAGTGCAAAGGTGAAAGTCAAAATCAATCTTCTGACTTCATTCTCCATAGTTTGTCAACAAAACCATCCTGTTGTAACATATGACCTTCAAATGTGGTTCTTTTACATAACCCTTAAGTTGATTAACTCCTTCATAGAACATAAAGTTTGCAGTGTTAAAATACAAGAAAATACAGATCTACTTATGCATGGACATGCAAGCACCCAGCTCTGGATTTCTTCGTGGTAAGGAATTGCTTTTCCAAAGCTGTTTTGTTCTGTGTCCCAGCCCAGGTGACAACTTACACCCACTATCTCTTAATGCAATTAACATTCACATGTCTTGCGTGGTATGGTCCTTACCACCCCTGTCTCCAGTTCTTGTTCTCTGCTGTGCACTCCAGGGTCAGGCTGGATTGGACAACAGGCAAGCACAGAAAGTACTGCAGAGTTTGGAAAATGCCATGCATTGCTAAGTGGTTTGCCTTTTCCAGCAACTTACAGACTGTCCAAAATTTCTCTGAGTTAACAGATAACTTTTTCAGAAGTATCACCCCTTTTGCCCTATGGGGAGAACTCGAGCATTTCAGCAACAAGAAGGTGAGCAGAATATAGCTCACCTTGCAGCCCTCACAGGCATGAACACCGTAATGAAATCCTGAAGCGACGTCTCCACAGACTTTGCAAAGAAGAACCATGCCATTAAATTCTAGAATCAGAACAGAAAAGTCAAGGATATAGAAAGCCAATGACAACTACAGGAACAAGTTCCCAGCTTTCAAAACCTGGATTAAAAGCCAAATATGTCAGGTCAGTTCAACATGCAAAAAAAATACAACAGAGGAACAGACAACAAGAATGTACAAAACCCCTGAACAGTTCAGAAGGTACCAGTGCAAGGGAAAGGGGAAAAAAGACAAACATGAAGCACTCAACAGAACAGGGAGAAAGCATGTATTCACTGGACTTTCAATCACAGTAGCATTGTACTCAACTGTAGAAAAGAAAGTCTGCTTACATTTACACACTTTTAAAAGGACTATTTAGTAAACCAGGCCACCAAAGTTCAGGCTAAATCTGCTTTTCCATCAGGACAAGTAAGCCCACATAAAGGCTACAGTCTCCCCAACAGAGAATAAACACCTTTTTTTAAAAACAGAATATTAAAGGACACTTTATTATATATTGTGAACAAGCCATACACTCTACCTATTTGATAACAATTTAGGACTGGTAACTCAGCCACATCTACACATGCAAAAACTACTCATTTGAGTGCGTGTCCAGAAAATGGCATGCTTGCACACCTGAACATGAAAAATACCTTCTCAGCCCTCTTAAGTATGCTCACGGTTTGGGTTTTGTAAGTTTTTCCCCACCTATTTTACTTCAGCTTCTCAATAACTATTTTCTCTAAGTCCTAAGTGCTGGTCTAACACTGGTTTCACTGAAGCCAATGGGAATTTTACCAGTGACTTCAGTAACCACAAAGTTACCTTAACAGTGAGCAACAGAGACAGCTGGAAATACTTCCACAGAACCGTAATCTATCAGAAAAGTAATTTATTTGACATTTGGGTTTCATTTGTAAAGAGGAACTAAAACTTTTTTTTTTAAGGTTTTGAAAAAGAACCAAACCACAAAGTTTCCTTTTTTTTTTTTAAACAGAGCTAGTACTGAGCTAAAAATGTTATCTATCTATCTATACATCTGAACAGTTTACAACAGGTTTCATCTTCAAGAACCTCTGCCCTGATACCAAAAACCTAGTTGCTAGCAAATTTTTAAGAGGAAGTAAAGGTTCTTACTAAGAATTTAGGGTAGGAAAACTTAAAAACAAAAAACAAAAAACAAAAAAAAAAACCCCACAACTCTTAAGGTAGAACTGTTAGATACTTTTTTCTAGCTTCGTAACAATTCGAAACAATAAAACAGTTCTGCCAATATAAGAATTCAGCCTTAAAAAAATTAAATTCCAACTGAGTTTATGTTGAAACACTCATTCCAGTACTGTTTGATTCCTGTCCTTCCAAAACCGTTCAAATGTAGTTTTTTATGATTCATCATCTCTGATTATAAAAAGAAGTGTGAAGCAAATAGCTGAAGCTAGATTGCTAAAAGCATTTTAAAAGGTTATCCTTTAGTTCCAACTTACAAATACTTTGCTTTTTAAATCTACAAAATCAGACTTGGAATCAAAAAGATAGAAGTCCCAGTTACAGCTATGTAAACAGAATGTTTTTGTAATTTATTCTGTTCCTCAAAAAAATTGGGGGGGGGAGGTGAAGGGGGAAGGGG